ATTTGGATGGATATCAAAGGAATCATGTTGAGTTTTTTAATAAAAAAAAGCCAATCCATGCAGTTATGTACTGTGCGATTCCATTTATATAGCATTCTTGAAATCATAGAGACAGAAACAGATGGTTGCCAGGAATTAGGGATGTGATGAAGAGGAGGTTTGATATGACTGTAAAGGGGTGGTTCATGGGAGTCTTGCAGTGATAGAACAGTCCTGTATCTTATTGTGTTGGTACAAGATTCAATATGCACAATAAAATTGCACATGATACAAACACACATGCACACACACACACACACACAAAGAATTTATGTAAAACTGGTGAAATCTAAACAAGCTCTGTGGATTGTACCATTGTCAAATTTCTAGTTTTGATACTGTAATGCAGTTATGTAAGATATTACCATGGGCAGGCGCAGGCAGGTGGGGGGACCTCAGGTGAAATGTGCAACTTCTGTGTGTGTGTGTGTGTGTTTGCTGTTGCTGTTTTCTGGTACTGGGGATGGAACCTTAAAGACACTTTACCACTGAGCTACTTCCCTATCACTTTTTTCCTTTTTATTTGTATTTATTTATTTAATTTTGAGACAGAATCTTCCTAATTTGCCATCCTTCTGCCTCAGTAATGGTAGTCACTGGGATTACAGGCATGTGCCAACACACCCAACCCTCCCCTACCTTTTCTGCATAATTTTGTGAATCTAGAATTATTTCCTTTAAAAATTTTACTTTTTAGAATATTCACCATAAATTCCTCTCACTCAGTAAATCCAAATAACCATCATTTTTGTCATATTAAATTTAGGGGGAAAAAAAGAGAAGATAAATAAATAAATTTAGGGATTCATTTCAGAATTATAAACTATGTCTTAGCACCAATGACTTGGTGCCGGCTTATCTGAATGTTTTTCAGTGTGTAAAAAAAACATATGATGAATTCTCAAGCTATCAAGCAGATTATTTTTAGCAGAAATAAGACAGTAGAAATCTGTTCAAAAGCAGATATTTTAAACAATAGCTGTGAATAAAAGAAAAACTAAATTTATTAGGCTTATGGTAAAAAGTTAGCCCTAAATTCAATGATAGCAATCCACTTGTATATGTATCAAAATTTTTTTCAATACAAAATTCTTTCTCGGATTCCTTTCAAGTGATAAAATGATTTCCATCTCCTCTTCAGACTTATAAGACATTGAGAAAAGTATTGAACAGTGGTCCATCCACAGAAGGATCCTTCTACATTCTTCTCAAACCCCAAGATGGTATTTTAATGAATCAATGAACCAGAGATCCCAGTTTGTGAAACTGAGCCACTGCCTTCAACACTATAACATCATGAACTCTTTTCTACCTCCTCAGAGGTGGGTGGCCACTCACATGCCCACACAGATGTCATCAGTGTTTGTGGCCTAATGTCTCAACCAGCCCCAGTCAAGCATATGAAAGGAGGTGTTTCTCTCTGTTCTAGAAAAAGCGGAGATGTCCAATAGCCTAAACTCTTTACCCAATGCACAAATCTCCACTCCTTTATAGGGAAAACTTAAGAAGTTTCAATACTTCCAGTGGTTGCAAGTTCACTACTTATCCAGGGAACCTTTTGTTTGGCAAAATGTCGGAGAGGTATTTGTCAATATTCTTGGAATTCCAGTTCTGTGAGAGGTTACCAGTGATGTGTTTGAAAACAACAAAGGAGCTGGGCATGGTGGTGCATGCCTGAAACCCCAGCAGCTCAGGAGGCTGAAGCAGGAAGATTACAGGTTTGAAGCCAGCTTCAGCAACTTACTGAGGCTGCAAGCTACCTAGTGAGACCCTGTTTCAAAATAAAAAAATAAAAAAGACTGGGGATGTGGCTCAGTGGTTAAGTGCCCCTATATTCAATCCTGATACCAAAACAAACAAACAAACAAAGGTCAGGGCAGATGAAGTGACTTCTTTCATTTTTTTTTCCCTTTAAGAACTAAAAATATCTCTGCTTCTCTGTATCTATCCTAAAGTCTCATCAAACAAGTGTTGTTTATCACAGAAAAAGTAAGATGACTGTTCAATCTAAATTGTCTTACAATGGTTTCTGTCTTTTATCAAATAAAGAAAGGTCAGTTTTAAATTTAAAAGAGGCCCTCTTATCCATGAAACTAACATAGCATTACATTTCTTTATTAGCTCAGCTTTTACCAAGCATATTTCATTAGCCAGGTACAGAGGTGCTAGAGATATACTTTTAAAAACCTTTATCATAATATCATATATTGTTATAGCAATAACTAACTTTTATTGATGCCACATTCTAGACTTTAGTCTAAGCACCTTTCATGAATTATCTTATTTAGTCCTTGTATATACCCTATGAATTCAGTATTCTTATATCTCCCTTTTAAGGAAAAGGCAACTGAGATTAAGTAATTCACCCAAGGTCAGCACTCCATGGAGGTGTAGTCTGAAAACTTAAGATTACTATGTTCTTAAGAAACAGATTGTCTAATGAGGTTCAATTTGAAGTGAACTATTTAGTGAACTATCATTTCCCATTATTTTATGCATATCTTATCTACCAACTAAAATTTGACCTTCTATTCTAAAATTTTCTGTAATAATCAAAATGTAACATTCTGTACTGTCCAAATGGGTAGTCATGAGTTTTGTGTGGCTCTTTAGAACCTGAAATATGACTAGTGGGCTGATGATTCAAAATTTAAATTGTATATAATTTAAATGTAAATGACCCCTCATGTCTAGTGGGTACAATATTGAATAACACAGATGTAGATGATATGGAAACAGTCATATCTTGTCTAATTTCTCTATAAAGACAAGGCTTAGATAAGTCAGCAAATGCTCAGTTAATAGAATGAGTGAAGAATCCTTTAGGAGAAAGATTTTCCCCAAGCTGGGGAGCAGAAATTTTTATTATCAGGACCTTCACTGTAATAGAATGTTATAATTAGCATTGACACAGCATGTAATCATAGAGGAGCTCATGAAGATAGTGAAGATAGTAACATTACTTGTAGTGCTTTTGAAAGGCTGACAAATGTTTTATAAGTGACAATCACTACTTTTAATATAGTTATATATCTTTGTTGGGTTAAAAACACACACACACACAAAACAGGATTACCGCTTGCATCTTGACAAAACATGAGGTCCATAGAGAGAAATAGAAGGGTGCTGCTCTTGGTGATGAAAGAATGGAAAACAGTAAAAAGAAATTGTAACTCAATGGACATTTTCTGCAGAGACATCTGGAACTTATAATTTTCTTTAAAAAAAAAAGAGTAACTGCCAAATTTTTCTTCCAAGTGACTTCATCCTGTACTTATACATTGCTATATATGCATACATTCTGAATTAGGACACAAAAACATGAGTATCATTTGACAATAATTCAGGGCTTTAGATCAGCCAAAGATTCTTAGGAAGTAGCCTAGTCATGGGCCAGTCTTTCCTGACCCAGCGCAGTGCAGCTCTCACACTGCTCCACACCCAACCTCCAATTTGCTTAAAAGAACTCAGCTAAAATAATATCAAAACTATTGTATCACAATTTGAACTTGATCTGCAACATGGTGGGTGGCAGGGGGTTGTTTGGTCCCATTTTAATTACACTTAGATTTCAAAATCATAAAAGTATTCATCAAAGAATTGTGGAAGCAGCTCCAACTTTTTGGAGATATCATGCCACGTTTTTGTGTATTTACTTATTTTCTGATACATTAAATTAGCTTTGATGTTTTAGAAACCTAATTTTCTCTCCTTGATAAACACTAAATTATTTACAAAAATAAAACCCACAATGCCTTTAAAAAGAGAAAGCAAAATTTCATTCTTCACACTCAGACCAGAAAGATGCAAACCCTATGTCCACATTTATACATGCTCACTGCAGAACTGGGTTATGATTCCATATTTGCAAGACGGTGTAACATCACCACCTGCCACTGAAATCCCAAAGCCCACGACTATTAAATGCTTTGCTCCGCCTTCCGGAGAGGCTATTACCGCCTAAGCAGCATCAACAAGGCAAGGAGGAGGCCCATATCTACTTTGTGTAGATGGCCTCTAACACACCAACTTATCAGAACAGCTGCAGGATCTTCAGGGAGGGTCCGCCCCCCTTCCCCCAATGCCCAGGCCTAAGGGTGAACTTCACCGCCAGATCTCCCTAGTCATTTTGCAGTGCTAGTCATGGGACTGTGGAGGGAACAACATCTAATGCGGATGCGAAACCCCATGGGCATAGGCCCTGCTGCTGATGTAAACCTTCTCACAAAGATTCTCTAGGGTCTCTGCCAAGAGCTGGCTGGACAGCCCAATTGCTACATTCCTATTGCCGTAATGATTGCAATTTGGCAGCATCCAGGATGTTGTACTGGGGACGGGAGGGGGAGGAGATGGTGGGCCCCTTTGCTAAGCGCAACGCCGGAAAAGACAGAAGGATGAATTTATTGTGGCCAGTCGTCCCTGAACTGGAAGGAAAAGTCAAGGGGCTTTAAGGCTCGAGGAGACGCTCTAACTCCAGCTTGCTCTCAAAGCTTTACATCCCACGAAGAGTGGGACCCAAGGCCGGCCAGCTGTAGAGGCTGCCGCCAGGGGCGAGGTAAGCAAACCCCCCCAGGTTCCGCGGTCAGCTGCCTGGCCAACAACGCGCTTTCGCTCAGGAGGCGTCACAAAAGGCCAAGGCCTGCTGGAGGCCGCGCGCGCAGTTCTCCGGGGCGGAGTCGCCAGGTCTGGGCTGTGGCAGTCAGGCTGCAGCAGCCGGGGGTGACCCGGCTACCTAGCCTTCAGCTCTGAGGTCGCGGTCGCAAGGAGGATGCTGCAGCTACAGCCTGACCCTCCAATCCTGGCCACCGAACTCCCCGGCCCCCGCCGCAGCGGAGGGGCGCCAAGCGTGCCGCGGGCCGGGCGGAGCTAAAGGCTGGCGTCTGCACCGCGTTGCGCCACCCGCAGCTCCCCGCCTTCGGCCGGGCCCGCAAGCTTGTCGCGGCGGATGTCCTGACGGTGGGCGCAGCTGCAGGGGCGGCGAAGCGCCGCGCGTGGGCGAGGCCTCGCTGCTGCTCGCACCAGCTCCGAAATCGGAGCACCGCGGGCGCGCGCTCTGGGCGCTCCTTCCTTCGGCCTTTGCTCCTCCTCTGCTCCGGGTCCTCCCCTGACCCCTCCTTCCACCCTCCCCAGAGGATGCGCTCCCCCGCGCCCAGCCGCAGAGGCCACCGCTCCCAGAAATGCGTGCGCCCGAGCCCCTTCTCCCGGACCCGAGGAGCCGGCGCCCCCGCCCTGTAGGTAGGTGGGTGAGGCGGGGCCCAGCTTTCGCGGCCACCCGCAGCTTATGCAGCTACCGGGGAGAAGCCAGGGCAGGGGCCAGGACCCGCCAAACTTGCCTCCCGCTAGGGCTCGGCGGAGCACTGGGAGGTGTGCTAATGGCGCTCGGCGCAGCCCCCTGTTAACCTGAAACACTCTTTTTCAGCTCGGGAGGCCGATTGGGGGCGAAGGAGAGTTTAACCCTTCCCGCCCACCCCCTGGGGACCGGTGGAGTGTGGGCTGGGCGGAGGTGGGGAGGACAGGTTGGCATGTGGTTTATCTGGGGAGAAGACCGTTGGATTTTCAGCAGTTCAGGTAGAAATATGTCATTTTTTTTTCAATTGGGTTGGCAGATGCGTTCTTCCTGTCTTTTTTCACCAAACGTGCAGAAGAGCAAAGCGTTATTTTAGCGGCTTATGAAAGTGGCTGTGGATTTTTGTGTATTTCACAGTTGGCCGGATGGTATATGAAATTGATGGCGCAAACCCTTATCGTCAACATTTTAGGGCCAGCTTAGAGGTCTTTCTAAAAGTCAGATTATTCAAGAGATGGATGAGGCAGAGATATTCCGGGTTTATCCTTAGATAAAGCCTCCTGCTTACAGGAAGGATGGGTTTAAGAGTAGCAAGTTTGATACAGGTGTCGGGAGTTGAGGTTCTGCTGGAAGGATGCGCCAGCTCAGCCAGCAGAGGCAGCCTTGTGCGGAGCCCAACTTGCAACTATGTGTTATGGTTAGCATTTCTGAAAAACTGGTTATGAAGTCTTATTTCCTCGCTAGGTGTAGAGTTCATATAGTAGAATTTTTAGTAAGATTCTTTGTTCACAGGCTGTCGTTTTTTATTACATGTAAAACAACAAGGTTTAGAGTTTAAGTGATCATTGTAAACTCAATTATATATCCACGTTTTTAAATTTAGCTATTTACAAAACTTAATCATTATAAATAGAAAAAGGACAAAAATCTTCGTGTTTTTTTTCCAACCCTGCGTCTGATGAGTAGTAGATGCTCATTAGTTATTTGCTGAGTGTACTGTTTTGAACTTCATCAGAAACCCACAATGTAGTTTTTCTGTGGTCAGGAAAATTTAACTGGATTTTGTATAAATAGGCAGAATTGGTTATTTCAACATTTATATTTGAATCCTGGCATTTTTAGGACCACGTGCTGTTGTTCTATGTTTTATTAACTGAGGCAATTCTCCCTCTTATTTCATGTCTGGGGCTGTAAACTTTCCAGCCTCATTAGTGATCAAACTTGTGATTTGGTTAATAAGTGATATATTAACTTCATTTTAGAGGTGGGGTGTGGTTTAAAGGTAAAAACCAAACATTTAGATGTGTCTGTGATTCCCAAGTGATTCAAAATATGTGATTTAGATACAATTTACCCCCCACCCCCTAGTGGTTGGGGTTTGAACAAGTCCTCAGGCATGCTAGACAAGTGCTCTACCACTGAGCTACACTTCCAGCTCTAGATACAAATTTCTAGATTCTTTTCTCATTATGGAAGCATATCAGTCTTGAGGATTGCCAACCAGGGAATTGAGGAGTTTGAGAGATCCAATGCCTTCCTCCTTTCAAAGGCTGTTATTTGGGGGCAAAAAGAAAAAAAAAATCAAGGATTACTGCGTTACATTTCGTTTGCTTTGCTCTTGCCCTATGATATTTTGTGTTATGATTTTATTTTTGTTTTCATGTTGCATAAATATATGAGTCAGTAGAAACTTCTTTTTGGTCTCTACTTAACAAAATTATCTGGGTCTCATTTTCTTTTCTTCCTTTGTCATCTTAGTACATCATTACTCCTCTGGCTACATATTAAAATTTAAAAAAAAAAAAAAACTTATTTTCACCCAATATGGTAAACCATGTTTTCTTATTATTATATCTCAAACCAACTTGAGATAGGTGAAGGAAAAATACTTTTAGGTAAAAGGTGGAAAGACTTGGGAAACAAAGTGGAAGGGAACTTATGAAAAAACCTAATTTGTTATCATTTATTAAAACAAAGTAGATGCCCCCATGCAATAAAGATAATTACATTTTACACAATTTATAATCAAGTGTTTTGAGCAGTTAATTTACATTGTTCCTCCTTGCTCACTTTATACATTTCAGAAGAGCCCTCCTCTATGGTTACAATATACTCTTTACTTTGTTACTTATAAACATTTGTTCATTTGACATCTGGAAACTGAGCACTTAATGTGGTATAACTCTGGGCCTTGGAATCATAAATAATTGCAGAATGAAAGAGGCATTTCTTTTCTTTGTGTTTGTCCTGAATCCAAATGTGCAATGTTTCTGGGATTGGGTGACTCACTTCTTGGGTCCTGCCTCTAGAGACCCCTGTAGCCCTGACTCCACAAGCACCCAAGGAATGCAATCCTAGAACCTGATTTATTGTCTTACATCTTTCTGAGTCTTCCTCAAAGTTTTATTTTAGAAAACCTCTCCTTTCCTTGCTAAATGTCATTTGCTGTCCTTTTAAAATCAGCCTATAATTCGCTTTTTGTGTAAATTAAACAGAATCCACTCAATTCACAAATATTAGAATGACAAGGTTACAATTGCAGTAAAATATACAGGAATACATTTGTATAACTTTGAATTTCAAAGGAAGGAAATATAGATGGTTGAGGAATAATTTTTGTGTGCTTGTCTCCCCTCAACAGGAATAGAAAATGCCTTTGTTTCTGCACATGCCAGAGAATATGTATTGTCTATTTGTAAATTTGATCAGAAGCTTATTTAAGAAAAACGAAGTTTATAGAGGTTCAGCTTAACAAAGTTCATAATATCCACCAATTCCCTTCTAATCTTAATTGTTAGGCCAGGAGTCTAGTCAGATCTTCAGAAACTGTGAACGTGGTTACTGTGTTTTACATCCTTCAAACCTCTGCCCCCATCCTCTATCATGTCCACATTGAGGGATTTTTATCATAAAGACAAGTGAAAAGAGACCCACTGTTGTATCACTATATAAGTGGTTATGATCATGGTCCCTTCTACTGTTCTTGTATGAATACTCTTGCAAGAAATTCCATTTAGCTGTAGATGCCAAAGAAAAACTGTTCTTTCCTAAACAATTAATGTGTTGTCTTTGTTTTTTACATTTTGCAAAATGAGAATCATATAATTGATTGTTTTCATTTCTTACTTGGCAATTAGAAATAGTAAAATTTGGAACTCAATCCTAATAAAACCACCTGAAAACCTATAACCAAATAGCAATGTTCTAACTTTCCCCTTTGATCTTGAGTATATCTGTTTTACCTTGTCTCTTTTGATTCTGATTTTTATCTAATTATATTTTCACAAATTATTGAATTATATTAAGCTGACTCACATCCTTTGTGAACAAGGTACAATATAAAACATAAAACCAAATAAATGAAAACATTTGAGAGTTGATCCCTGGATGCACTGTGTTTTTAATCAACAAGCTTAATCAATAAGTTACTTTAAATATGTTTTCAATAAGTGTTATAAATTTAGTGTTTGAGTTATATATAGCCAAACAACATTACATGGTTTTGTAAAAATGAATTTCACTTATTTTTTTAGCTGTTAAGTTTATGTCCATTCAATTTAAGTCATCCGGTTTAAGTCAAATACATCTGAAGCCACCTGCCTTATACGTTATATGAAACTGGGAGATTCCATATGATTTTTAAAAAGTCATTTTTAGCCAAAGGGCTGGCCCAAACTAGCTCAAAACTCACCAAACCAAATTGGAATCTGACGTTTACATTGGTGATTCATAGGCATGTTGATAAATCAGATATTCTTCTCTGAGTTTCTTTTATTTACCATGAAATTTAAAAGATTGTGTTTCCTGGGCCAAGTGACCAGACTTTCTTTATTCTGTGTTTTTAAACAACTATTAGGCTGGTTGAATGTTTCTAGTTACCACTATGTGATTCCAGGTTAAGTTTGGTACATATGTTACATCAACAGGGAGGTTGTCTCTTATCAGCAGTCACTGGTGTAGTCTGAGTCATTGACATAAAAATAATCTGATTTCAGACGCGCAACTTCAAACATAGGAGGAAGTTTGAAGAGGGTTTTACATGAGACATCACATTCTGAAAACCTCCATATCTTTTTCTAAAATTTACTTTTTTGAAAAAATAGGTAATACCTTCATGTGGTTTGAAAGGTATAAATGAATATGCATCTGCTTCCCCTCTCCATGAGTAATGGTGATATCAGTTGAGAATATTGTAGTGACATTTTATGCATTTGTGGCAAATATAAATATAAAGCCTGCTAATTTGTCTCTTAACCATTTTTCTGATTGATTTCATTCCCATTACCCTTGTCGGGTGCCTCAGATGTTTTGACTGTGATTTGCATTCTTCTTTCCTATGTATTTCAGCTACTATTCTTTCTAAACTTCCCTGTTCAAACCTTCTAAAGAATCCCTATCATACATCATAGTGTTTTGGGCCCTGAAGTATTATCTTCTGTCCCCTGCCATTCCTGGGATTGTCCCACAGATCATTCTTTGCTGAGATCCCTTCCTGTACTTCTGGAATACTTTAAAATGTCTGATGAAAGTTCAAGGTCACCATGTACCATTATAATACCATTTGCCTTGCTTATGTAAAAACCCCAAGATAATCATGATTTTAGTATTGTAAGACCTATTGTCACTTCCTGCACATGCCTAGGGTCCCTCCATGCCAGTCCCTCTCCGTGGAGCACTCTGTCTACCACTTACTGTTAGCAAACCACACTCAGTTCTGGGGTCACCTCCAGGGTCCTTTGTGAGTTGAGATTTCTTAGCTCATGGAAACTTCCACTGTAATTTAGTATGGCAAGTTGACTTCTCTACTGAGAATAAGGATTTCTCATAAGTAGCAAAAGTGCCTTTCTAGTAAAAATTAACTGATTTTGTTAGCATGTAAGATTAGTTTAAAAAGAAAAAAAAAAAACTGAAGCTTTTATTTAACCATTCATTCCTCTTGTCTCCCTAC